GGCAGCACCTGCAACGCCGAGGCGACGTCTGCTGCAGGTCGAACAAACAGCCGAGCAGATGTGTTACGCAGCCAGCAACGAACGAAGCAGTGACGATGCGTCGAATGAGCATGCCGCGATGCTGCGTCCGGCTTCACCTTGTTGCCGCAGCCGCCGCTCGTGTTCCGAGTCCTTGGCGCGACACTTCGTCGTCGCGCTCACGTCGAGCCAGACAGACTAGTGACAGTAGACATTCCGAGCATGGCGCGACTGTAGACGACGATGAGCATGGAAGATGTGCGAACGCCTGCTTCTGTACGACCTCGCTCGACACTGACTCGAGTCAGAACGAGGATTCTGGAGTGCCGAACTCCGGCAGGTCTCTCTTCGAAGACCCGCCGCATACAGCAGCGGCCATCATGAAGATTGCTGAGACGAAGCGTCAGCATAAGGCTCGAGGCAGCTTGATTGCCCGTTCTTGTGGTTGCTGATTGCTCGGAACAACTCCGGATGCCTTGACGGCCAGGTAGCGGTCGAGACTTGAGCGCCTGTCAGCGACAGAATGCTGGCGGCCACCGCCACAACCTGCAAACAACGGAGGAAGTCTAGTAGAACGTAGTAGTAATTAGAGAATAGAGTGAAGCGGACCGAGCCGAGCCGAGCCGAGCCGAGCCGAGCGCGAGCCGAGCGAGCAGAGCAGAGCAGAGCAGAGAAGAGCAGAATCAGTAAGCTAGAGTTAAGTAAGTAGAGTAGAGTAGAGTATAGTATCAGAGTACGAGTAGAGCCCAGAGTAGAGTAGAGTAGAGTAGAGTAGAGTAGAGTAGAGTAGAGTAGAGTAGAGTAGAGTAGAGTAGAGTAGAGTAGAGTAGAGTAGAGTAGAGGAAGAGAGAGAGAGAAGGGGAGAGAAAGAGAGAGAAGGGGGAGAGAGAGAAATAGTGACGACGTCACACGCGATTGTCAAGGGAGCATGCTGGACTGTTGCGATGGGATTGAGCATTAAAATGTGGTGTCGGCGACGACGATGACGACAGCGGAAACAGCAATGGGGACGATAACGACGATAGCGGAACTGCTAACTGCTGTGGCGGGGTCGGCGATGATAATTATTATGAATACAGCAACAGCCACAGCAACAGCAACAGCAACCGCAACAGCAACAGCATCAGCAACCGCAACAGCAACAGCAACAGCAACAGCAACAGCAACAGCAGCAGCAACAGCAACAGCAACAGCAACAGCAACAGCAGCAGCAACAGCAACAGCAACAGCAACAGCAACAGCAGCAGCTACTGCCAAAAGGACGGCGGAGGAGAAGAAGATGAAGATGAGAAGCAGTAGGAGGAGACGATGAGGAAAAGGAAGAAGAGAACGCAGAAAAGGAGACGGAATAACAGAAGAGGGAGAAGGAGAACAAGTGGAAGGAGCCGAAAAACGAAGGAGTAGGAGGAGACGCAGTAGCAGCAGAAGGAGGAGGTTGAAGAAGTAGGACGAAGAAGGATTAGGATAATAAGGGGGAGAAGCAGAAAAATAAAGACGGAGGATGAGGAGAAAGATAATTACCTCCGCCAAGGAGGTAATGTAATCGGTCTCGTGTGTGTGTTCGTGTGTGTGTTCGTGTGTGTGTGTAGCCACTAGTGTTCGCGCGATCGATTCAGCAGCAGCTCGCCTTCGTGTGTGTGTGTAGCCACTAGTGTTCGCGCGATCGATTCAGCAGCAGCTCGCCTTAGGGCGTTGAGTCAGCAGCAGCAGCTCGCCTTAGGGCGTCCAGTCAGCAGCAGCCAGCAGCGAGCCAGCTGTTATACACATACATGTTACATCCTGGCAGAGGTATGCACTCTCCGTGAGTGCCCTCTGTCTAGTTATAAGTAGGAATACAACGACAGCGATAAACGACGACGAAGACAACGAAGACGACGAGTAGGAGGAGGAAAAAAGGAGGGAAATGAGAAGGAGGAGGGGGAAGAGGAGGAGGAGGAAGAGGAGGAGGAGGAGAATGAGGAGAAGAATGAAGAGGAGCAGGAGGAGAAGGAGGAGGAGGAGGAGGAGGAGAAGGAGAAGGAGGAGAAAGAGGAGGAGGAGGAAAAGAAAGAGGAGGAGGAGAAGGAAGAGGAGGAGGATGAGAAGGAGGAGGGGGAGGAAGAAGAGGAAGAAGAGGAAGAAGACGCGGTAATAGAAGAGAAGAGGTAGGGCGAGAAAGAGGCGGAGAAGTAAAAATGGAGGAAAGAAAGGGACGAGGAGGATCAGTAGCAGGAGGAGCAGTAGGAGAGGAGAGGAGTAGGGAAGGAAAACGGAGAGGAGGTGAAGAAGGAAAAGGGAGGAGCAGGAAAATAAATTAGACGAAGGAAGATGAGGGGAGGAAGAAGAGGAGAAGGACGAGTAGAAGGAGGGCGAAGAGACCAAATTTTCCACATTTTTGCTGCACCTGCTGCGTGCTTGTGCAGGCCTGCTGGCATTGACGAATGCCGTATAGCTCAACTAGAGCACTCGGAGAGCACAGACCTCCGCCAAGGCAGCTGAATTCTCTCAATGTGAATTTTTTAATTAATTAATTAATTAATTAAGTGGAAAAATTAATTAATTAATTAATTAATTAAATAATTAATTGGATCCGGATTAGTGCGAGCGTGCAGGTGGGGGAGGACTGTGGTTGCCCCTGGTTGCGTGTTTGTAAGTCTACAGCCAGCGCACCTAGCGGAAGTGAACTGAAACGTGCATGGTAACACACAAACACACAAACCAACACTCAAAAACTCGCCGGTGAAAACATAACCCCCGCCATGCCCCTGGCGGAGGTAATAACCTACTGGAGATGAAAGGACCCGGTTTACTTACAGCTCCGTGGCCACGTACTGCCATATCGTTTAGGGCGCAATTGAATACGACAGCAGCGCCTTGTTTATTGATCATAAACCTATCGAGGAACCACAGAGAAGTTCTTATATTTATAGTTATTTACATGTTTAGTACCCGCCACGCATGCGCTCTGTGTATGTGTGTGTGGGGGAGGGGTGCGCGCGTGTGTGTGTGTGCGCGCGTCTGTGTGTCCACAGGTAAGAGCATAATATGCATGATGAAAACGATGCATTGCCTAGGCACGACCGCCGTGTGGTACTAGTATATCGCCGGTCAACTTCCCAGTAATTATTTTGCTTGAGTTGTCTAGTGCGCGTTAAAGGCTCGCTGTTTATCCAATTAGCGGACGCAAATGATGTTCGCGGAGAAAAATAATCACTGAAGGTGTGGAGTCCAGTACTCCATTGTGAATATGTTGTGATAAACATATATGAGGTTACTGGCAACGTATGCTGTTTCGTTCACGTCATAAACAAAATCCACGCAAGAGCTGTAATAACCCCAGCCCACGTGACCGCTACAAATACAGCCGCTAGGAAGCTCATATGCGTTAGTAGGCCTTTTGCTAATGATCGTTGCTACACTGCATTTAATCGGAAGTAGATAATAGAGATGACAATATGTTTGGCAAATTGGCAAATAATCTTTGGCAATTAATTGAGTAGCAGTTCTAATTAAAGGTGCACGCACTAACTCACAAACACAGACAACAAAGACACATACATACACACGCACGCACACGCATACGCACGCACACACACGCACAACGCATGCGCATACCAGGAGACCACAAAAACCTGTAATAAAACAAAACTGCGCTTGATTGGCGGCAGCAATTACACACGCATACACGAATTTGTCTCTCTAGTCGAATGCATCGTCGTTACGATGGATTTGGGTTCAGCCTCTCAAAACACCGCACCAATCTACGCCTGCAACGCGGGGCCGTTTAAGGCACATGCGTATAGGATGTTTAGGACTTTATATGTAGTACGGCGTACATATGTGGCAGACGTTAGGCGGTATTCACTAAATCCGCACATTAAACGTCGTTTATGCGCAGGTAACGGGCAGCATTGATTCTCACTCGGCGCTCGCGTGGCATTTTCTCGCGTGTGTTGTTGATAGCAGAAAGCGACAGTTTCTCCCAGCGATGTGATATATCATGACGCCGTCAGCATATAACGAATGTCAATTCAAGTGAAGTCATACAAGACGCGATGCTGGAACACATGCAATGCCATGCACGATAGTAGGTGCGCATGGCAACAAACGAATTAGCGTTTCGCATAAATGTGTTTGCTTGTCGCATTCATATATGATCAAGAGCTAATAATACCAATTAATATTACCTAATAATTATAATAATAATAATAATAGTAATACCTAGGTATTATTAGCTCTTGGTATGATGGGTGTTGAATGACATAAGGGAAAGTCAGCCATATAACAGCCACAATATATAATTTCTATAAATATAGTTAACCAAAGAATATCAATATGGGGAAGAAGAAGAAGAAGAAGAACGAGAGGGGTGAGAGAGCAAGACCAAACTAGGACGAAAAAGGCAAGAGGGCGAGAATGCGGGACAGAAACAGTGACCCATGAATGCAGGCGCCCGCACAGACTCACGCGCGCGCACAAACAAATACACACACACACACACATGTGATGTAAAGCACGTTACAGCGTGTATGCGTGATGTAAAGCACGTTACAGCGTGTATGCGTGATGTAAATCACGTTACAGCGTGTAAGCGTGATGGTAGGATTGTCGTCGTGCAGTGGGATATACAGAATACATGCACAGAAGTTATATGTACTTGTACTTATGGTGCTAACTCGCCTACACCGTATATCTTTCTCCCCTCACCATCTCTCTCCCTCTTTTCATCTATCTTTAATGTGCGTACTCTCTCGCTCTGTTTCCTTGCCCCATATTGTCCCCTCTCCTCATCTTTATCTCTCTCGCTTTTACCCTCTCCCTATCTTTATCTCTTATCTCATATCACTTTCTCCCTCTTTTTAGCGCGCACATTTTTTCGCTTTGTCTGTATCCCCCTCTCCCCCATCTCGCTCGCTCTCCTTTTTGTCTTCTCTCATACCCCCATCCTTTTCTCTTACCCCACCCATCTCCCTCTGCTTTACTCGCCAGCTACAGTCACGCACTCACACGGCGTTGGCAGGTATTAGCGGCTTCGTGCGTCTGTTAGTGTCGCGCGTGCGGATCGACGGTGCATGATGGATGACGATGCGCGGCGGGCTGCGCATGTTGGTCGCGTTCGCATGCTTCGGCGAGTAGATACTCGACCCGCCGCAGCAGATGATGCCGTTGATGCCGTTTCGAAAGTGATTGTTGAGCAGCCAGAAGAGAATCGGGTTGCACGCCGAGTTGGCGTGCGCCAGCAGCAGCGTGAACGGCAGAACCTGCACGCCGAGCGACGTCTGCTGCAGGTCGAACCACAGCGAGCAGATGTTGTACGGCAGCCAGCAGACGACGAAGCAGGTGACGAGCGCGATGAGCATGCGCGCGATGCTGCGTCGGCTCACCTTGTTGCCGCAGCCGCCGCTCGTGTCCGAGTCCTGGCGCGACACGTTCGTCGTCGCGCTCAGCGTCGAGCAGACGACGTAGTGACAGTAGACGATTACCGAGCATGGCGCGCTGTAGACGACGATGAGCATGAAGATGGCGAACGCCTGCTTCGACGCCTCGCTCGACCACGACTCGACGCAGAACGAGATCTGGATGCCGAACTCCGGCAGGCTCTCCTCGAAGACCCGCCGCACGTACAGCAGCGGCATCATGAAGATTGCTGAGACGAGCCAGATAAGGCCGAGCAGCTTGATGCCGTTCTTGTGGTTGCTGATGCGGCGGAACAACTCCGGATGCTTGACGGCCAGGTAGCGGTCGAGACTGAGCGCCGTCAGCGACAGAATGCTGGCGGCCACCGCCACACCTGCAACGAACGGAGGAGTCTAGTAGAGTAGAGTAGAGTAGAGTAGAGTGAAGCGGAGCCGAGCCGAGCCGAGCCGAGCCGAGCCGAGCCGAGCCGAGCCGAGCAGAGCAGAGCAGAGCAGAGCGGACACAGTCGTCGGCACAGTCGTCGACCACAGTCGTCGGCACCGTCGTCGCACAGTCGTCGAACACAGTCGTCGCACACGGTCGTCGGCAGCAGTGTCATCGGACAGTCCGTCGGTAGCAGTCGTCCGCTCAGTGCGTCGGCAAACCAGAACAGTTTCTGTTTGTCAGTGACCTTGTTTTTTTTTTAAAAGTCTAATTGACAGTTCAACACTAGTCCCATCAGCTAATCCTTTTGATGCCCAATTCCAACGCCCGCTCAACGCATTAGTAGGCATTGCAAAGCAACGTGCGAGGCCAAGGACGCTACATATACACAAGGATGAAGAAGCAGATTGGCTTGTGTGGCTTTTCGGCCTCAAGGACGACCATCTATGGACCATAATGCAGCTGAAACGGCTGCGCGAGATCCGCCCGCCCCAGAGACCAATAAGCAGAACAAAACTAACTGTTCTGGACCATATATGACGCAAATAATGGCAAATATTTGGGCGCAGATATGGGCGGCGCTCCTCTCCTTGTTATAACCTTATATGTAGCTCCTTGCGTGAGGCTAACACTGTAAGCGCTATAAGTGTGCTCCACCTCCGCCTAACACACGATATCTAGATGGAGATCGAGTACAAACACAATTAGCGTTTATTCACCTCCTGATATCGATAAAATTCTTAGGGCTATTAGATTATGTACGTAGATGTAGTATGTGAGTAAGCGTAGAGCGGGTAGACGTACGCCGTAAGACTATACGAGACAGACGTAGACGTACGTTAGACGTAGACACAGCTACTAAGAGCGTAGACGTAGAGCGTAAGACACATACAGTAGACGTAGAACGCTAGACGTAGACACAGTACGTAGACCGTAGATGTATATGGCATAGACATAGATATGGATTGGATATAGGGTGTGGTGTAGATAAATATGCCATGTAACGTAGTATTCGTGTAATCGAGATACATTAGAACTGGTCCTGCGATTGCGCTTCTCCACTCACCTGAGAACAAGTTAACAGCCAATGCGTTAAAGGTCAGCAACGAGGCGTACTGATCTGCGTTCACTATAGCTGCTTTTGTCGCAGTAATACACACAGCCTGCACTCGTAGGAAATCTGCTATCGTCGAGTAAGAAGGCTTGTCGCCGATTGTATCTACTCACTCTTTGCTAAAGTTACCCTATATGTATTGGGGTCGGGCCTTTTGTTTGTTGGCTCTGCCAGCGTTTTATTATAATGAATCACAGAGAAATGGCTGTCGCGCACAGAGGCTGTATAATACAATCGAAGTAGATAATAGGAGAGCTATTAATTTACTTCTGATCACAATGTTTATGCACACGCAAAGAAATTTATGCGTGTGGTGTGTGTTTACGTATACGCGTCTCGTTGCGCTGAGAGTGTGTTGTCTGCGTGTTGCCTGTCTGTGCACTGTCCTGTGTGTGCTGTGTGTGTGTGTGTTGTGTGTGTGTGTTGTGTTGTGTGTGGGTGTGTATGTGTGTGTGTGTGGTGTGTGTGTGTGTGTGTGTGTGTGTGTGTGTGTGGGTGTGTGTGTGTGTGTGTATGTGTGTGTGTGATGTGTATTTCGTTTGTGCCGCGCGACGTGAGTCTGTGCGGGCGCCTGCATTCAGGGTCACTGTTTCTGTCCCGCATTCCTCGCCCGTCGTTGCCTCTTTTCGTCCTAGTTTTGGTCTTGCTGCTGTCACGCCCTCTCGTTCTTCTTCTTGCTTCTTCTTCCGCCATATTGATATTGCATTTGGCTGTTAACTATATTATAGAAATTATATATGTGTGGCTGTTATATGGCTGACTATTCCGCCTTATGTCATTGCAACACACCGCATCCAATACAAGAGCTAATAATACGCTAGAGGTATTACTATTATTATTGATTATTATATTATAGGGTAACTATTAATTGGTATTAATTAGGAGCCTTGACTCATATTATGAATGCGAACATAGCCACCCACATTATGCGAAACGCTAATTGTTTGTTGCATGCGCACTACTCTATCGTGGCCATGCTATTGCATAGTCGTTCCAGCACTAGCGTCTTGTATGACTTCACTTGAATTGAACATTCGTTATATGCTGACGGCGTCATGATATATCACAGCATCGCTGGGAGAAACTGTCGCTTTCTGCTATCAACAACACACGCGAGAAAATGCCACGCGAGCGCCGAGTGAGAATCAATGCTGCGCCGTTACCTGCGCATAAACGACGTTTAATAGTGGGCGGATTTAGTGAATACCGCCTAAGCGTCTGCCACATATGTACGCCCGTACTACATATAAAGTCCTAAAACATCCTATACGCATGTGCCTTAAACGGCCCCGGCGTTGCAGGCGTAGATTGGTGCGGTGTTTTTGAGAGGCTGAACCCAAATCCATCTAACGACGATGCATTCGACTAGAGAGACAAATTCGTGTATGCGTGTGTAATTGGCTGCCGCCAATCAAGCGCAGTTTTGTTTTATTACAGGTTTTTGTGGTCTCCTGGTATGCGCATGCGTTTGTGCGTTGTGTGTGCGTGCGTATGCGTGTGCGTGCGTGTGTATGTATGTGTCTTTGTTGTCTGTGTGTTTGTGAGTTAGTGCGTGCACCTTTAATTAGAACTGCTACTCAATTTAATTGTCCAAAGATTATTTGCGCAATTTGCGCAAACATATTGTCATGCCCTATTATCTATTTCCGATTAAATGCAGTGTAAGCAACGATCATTAGCAAAAGGCCTACTAACGCATATGAGCTTCCTAGCGGCTGTATTTGTAGCGTAGTCCCGTGGTGTGGCTGGGGTTTATTACAGCTCTTGCGTGGATTTTGTTTATGACGTGAACGAACCAGGCATACGTTGCCAGTAACCTCATATATGTTTATCACAACATATTCACAATGGAGTACTGGACTCCACCCTTCAGTGATTAATTTCTCTCGCGCGAACATCATTTGCGTCGCGCTAATTGGATAAACAGCGAGCTTTAACGCGCACATCTAGACAACTCAAGCAAAATATTACTGGGAAAGTTGACCGGCGATATACTAGTACGCACGGCGGTCGTGGCCCGAGGCAATGCATCGTTTTCATCATGCATAATTAGCTTCTTACCTGTGGACACACAGACGCGCGCCACACACAGCACACGCGCGCACCGCCCTCCCCCACACACAACATACACAGAGCGCATGGCGTGGCGGGTACTAAACATGTAAATAACTATAAATATAAGAACTTCTCTGGTGGTTCCGCTCGATAGGTTTATGATCAATTAAACAAGGCGCTGCTGTCGTATTCAATTGCGCGCCTAAACGATATTGGCAGTACGTGGGCCACGGAGCTGTAAGTAAACGCGGGTCTTTCATCTCCAGTAGGTTATTACTCCGCCAGGGGCATGGCGGGGGTTATGTTTTTCACCGCGGGAGTTTTTGAGTGTTGGTTTGTGTGTTTGTGTTGTTACCCATGCACGTCTTTCAGTTCACTTTGCCGCTAGTGGCGCTGGCTGTAGACTTACAAACACGCACACCGACAGGCCTATAGCGGGCAAACCAACAGTCCTCGGCCCACCAACGCTGCACCGCTCCGCCACTAATGCCGATGCCAATCTTAAATTATTTAATTAATTAATTAATTAATTAACTTTTTCCACTCTCAATTAATTAATTAATTAAATTAAAAAATTCACCCATTGAGAGATTCAGGCTGCGCTTGGCGGAGGTCTGTGCTCTCCGAGTGTTCTAGTTGAGCTATACCGGCATTCTCGTCAATGGCAGCAGGCCTGCAGCAAAAGCACGCAGGCAGGTGGCGACAAAATATGTGGAAAAATTTGGTCTGCTTCGCCCCTTCCTTCTACATCGTCCGCTTCATCCTTCTTTCTTCCTCCCCTCATACTTCCCTTCGTCTCAATTTATTTTCTGCTCGCTCGCCTTTCGCTTCTTTACCTCCGTCTCCGTTTTCCTTCCCTACTTCCTCTCCTCTCCTAACTGCTCCTCCTGCTACTGATCCTCGCTCCGTCCCTTTCTTTCGCTCCAATTTTTACTTTCTCCGTCGCCTCTTCCTCGCCTAACCTGCTTCTCTTCTATTACCGCGTGCTTCTTTCCTGCTTCTTCCTCTTTCTTCCTGCCCCTCCTCCTTCTCATCCTCCTCCTCTTCCTTCTCTCTCCTCCTCTTTTCTTTTCGCTCCTCCTCGCTCTTTCATCCCGCTTCGTCCTTCTCCTCGCTACCTCCTCCTCCTCCTTCTCCTCCTGCTCCGCTACTTCATATGGCTTCTCTCACTTCATGCCTCCCTCCTCCCTCTTGCGCTCCTCCTCCCTCTTCCCCTCCTCTTCTCATTTCCCTCCTCTTTTTCCTTCTCCTACTCGTCGTCTTCGTTGTCTTCGCGTCGTTTATCGCTGTCGTTGTATTCCTACTTATAACTAGACAGAGGGCACTCACGAGAGTGACATACCTCCGCCAGAATGTAACATGTATGTGTATAACAGCTGCTCGCTGCTGGCTGCTGCTGACTGGACGCCCTAAGGCGAGCTGCTGCTGTGACTCAACGCCTAAAGGCGAGCTGCTGCTGAATCGATCGCGCGAAACACATAGTGGCTAACACACACACGACGAACACACACACGAAACACACACACGAGACCGATTACATTACCTCCTTGGCGGAGGTAATTATGCTTTCTCCTCATCCTCTTCTGTATTTTTCTGGCTTCTCCCCTTATTATCTAATCCTTCTTCGTCTACTTCTTCAACTCCTCTTCTGCTGCTACTGCGTCTCCTCCTACTCTTCGTTTTCGGCTCCTTCCATTGTTCATCCTTCTCCCTCTTCTGTTATTCCGTCTCCTTTTCTGCGTTTCTCTTCTTTCCTTTTCCTCATCGTCTCCTCCTACTGC